AAAAAACTCCGTAACTATTGAGTTTAGCAAGGCTCCAGGATACAAGAACACACAAACATGAAATGCATCTATGGGAAACAAGTTTAAAAATATAATACTCCTAATAACTGCTCCCAAGTGAATTAAATCTAACAAAACATGTACAAGATCTGCACACTGAAAAACTACAAAACCTACAAACCTAAATACTTGGAAGAGACATATCTGTTTATGGACTGGAAACTCAACATAGTAAAAGTGCAAATTCTCCCCTAAATTCATCTATAAGTTCAACACAATCCCTATGGAAAGCTTATTCTAAAATATAGATGAAAAGGCATAGGACCCCAGTTAAAAGAACTCTGGAAAAAAAAAAAAAAGTTGGAGGAATCACTATGCATTTCGATGGCTCAGTATGCAACTAGAGTAATGAAGGCAGTGTGGTATTGGCAGAGGGACAGTCACACAGTTCAACAGAACACAAGAGAGAACCCAGAAACAGATCCACAAAAATATGCTGATTTGTAACAAAGGTGCAAAAACAATTACTGTTGACTGCTGAATCACAAGGTCTACTTACAGGTGTGTTTTTTTCCATAAATACAGTACAGTGCTGTAAATGTATTTCCTCTGCTTTATAATTTTCTCAATAGCCTCTTCTTTCCTCCAGCTTATTGTAAGACTCCAGTATACAACACATATAATACACAACACATGTGTTCATCAACAGTCTGTGATATTTGTTAAGGCTTCCAGTCAGCAGCAGGCCATTAGCAGCCTTAGAGTAGTCATGTTTTGGGGGACTCAAAAGTTATACATGGATTTTCCATGCATGGCGCCCCTCACTTCATGTTGTTCACAGGCTAACGGTAGATGGAAAAAGGCTAACGATTTTCATAAATGGTGCAGGAGCAAATGGGTCTGTAATCAAAAAGAACACTTTGATCTATACCTTTGACCTAGACATAGACTTTGATCTATACCTCACACCTCACAAATTAACTCTACATAAAAAATTTGAAATTATAGAAACTTTTAGGAAAAAAAAAAAAACCAAAAAAAAAAAAACCAGAAGACGGGCTGGGGATACTGGATGACAAGCTGTGTGGATTGGCGAGCCCTCCCCAAGTGCCCACGGGACCAGGCCCCCACCAGAGCTTGCAAGCAACCTGAATGTTCTTCAACAGGTCAATCTGCGGTGGCACATCATACCGTGGAAGGCTACTCAGCAATAAAAACCAAGCGATTGCTGACAGAGACGGCATGGGTGGATCGCCATGGAATTACGCTGAGCAAAAAACCCCGTCTCTAAAGGTCACATATGACAGAAGTGTAGATACGCGGTAGAGATGAGTTGTTGTCAGGCGTGGGAGCAGAAGGGAGGGAGCTGTGGCTACAAAAAGGTAGCACACAGGGATCTGGGGATGCAACTGTTCTGTATCTTGATGGTAATGCTGATCACACATCTCCACATGTGATGATAAACAGCCCAGCAGTAAATTACATGCACGCACTAAGTGGAGGGCACGTGGGACTGGTGAAAGGTGAATGAGGTAGCTGGATTCTACTGATGTCACTTCCATGTTGTGACATTATACTATTGACGCAAGATGGGGGAAACTATGTAAAGGGCATTTGGGATCTCTGTATTCCTTCTTTCTAAAATTGTATTTTTAAGCTATCTCCACACCCAATGTGGGGTTCAAACTCACACCCCACGGTCAAGAGCTGTGAGTTCTTCCAACTGAGCCAGCCAGGTTCCCTAGGATCTTTGCATTATTTCTTTCAACTGCATGTGAATCTGTAATTATCTCAAAATAAAAAATATATAAAATTTAACTGTCTATAAAGCTATCAATTATTAAAATTTTGTCTGGAACCAGTAAAAAAAAGAAATCACTTTTCTCACTTTCTCTCCCCACTCAGAACCTATAAAGTGGATATTTCTCTTGGTGTCCTAACTAGCAAGCCTGGGGCTAGATGCCAGAAGCGGGTCCTCAGCAAAGAAGATCATCATCAGGTTCCCAGGCAGCCTTGAGAAGCCTGAAGAACCAAACCACCCCACTTTCAACTTTTTCAAAGCCCACATGTATCATGGAGTTTTAAAAAAGGTAAACCCAAACTGATACTTATGTTTGCCTGAAGAACATATCTATGGACAAAGCTCATTTAAGATGCTTACAAGATTAGGTTAATTACTTTCACTATAAAGTCAACAAAAGGAACCAAAGGAGTAAGTTCCAAGGAAATGGTGTGCTTTGAGTGGGAAGAACAAGGTCTGTCTGGCTTGCTAAAGCACCACTGTACATCCTAGCTCCCCCATTTGCAAAGCAGTCCATCCACATAAAAACAGAATGCTAGCCACAGATCTAATTTGACAGTTTTCTAGAAAGAACACTTTTTAAAAAGTAAAAAAAAAAAAAAAAAAAGGTAAAATGAATATAAAAAATGTATTTTAATAGCCAATAAGCATAAGAAAAGATACTCAGTGTCACTCATCATGAGGGGAAAAAAAAAACTATAGTAAGGTATCATCTCCCATGGATGGTTACTATTAAAAAAGAAAAAAATGTTAGAGAGGATGTGGAGAAATTGGAACCCTTGTACACTGTTGGTGGGAATACAAAGTGGTGCAACCACTAGGGAAAACAGTACAGAGGTTCTTCAGAAAATTAAAAATAGGACTACCATATGATCCAGTGATTCCCCTGTTGCATATGAGAGTGTGATTTTCAGGAAATGTTTGCTTTCATACCTGAAAGAACTAAAAAAGCCTTATCTATGAGATGTTTGCACACTTAAAGCCAAGAGATGGAAGAATCCGAGTCACTGATAGATGACTGAATTTAAAATGTTACATAAATACAACAGAATATTATTTTGCTCTAAAAAGAAAGGAAGGGCTAATAATGACGAATAAGGATGAAACTTAAGGACATCACGCTAAGTGAAATAAACCAGTGACGGAAAGATAAATACTGTATAATTCCACTTATATCAGATATCTGTAAGAATCAAAATCACAGACAGATAAAATGAAGGTTGCCAGGAGCTGAGGTTTAATGGGTACAGTGCTTCAGTTCTACAAGATGAAAACGTTCTGGGAGTGGGGTGTACAACTCTGTGAATATACTTAACACTACTAAAGTGTACACTTAGAAAAGGTTAAGATGGTTAAGTGTTAGGGGCTTTTAACAACAATAAAAAAAAATTTTTTTTTACTTAACCCAATATATTAAAAATATCTCCACAGGTCATTAATATGAAAATGACGGAGGTATTTTACATTCTTTTTTACCTACTAAGTAATGTGTGTGAATGGACACTAACAAGCACGTCTCCATTGGAACTAGTTGCATCTCCAGTTGTTCAGTACTCACCTGTGGCTTCCCTACTGGGTTCATGGTGAGCTAGACCTCACCTGTCATCCCACGTGACAAACCTCATAGTTCGATCCAAATAACTAAAAATATTTTTGGGGGTGGGGGTGGCGCAAAAGGTCTTTTTCTTGCTACTAGACTATTTTTGAAGTCTTAATTGTCCTCTGTTGGCTCTATGAAAGACTGATGGGCAGGACGGGAAACTCTGAACATCTCCTGAGCGTCTCCTCTTTGTCAGGCCCTCATTAGGATTTCCAGGACATCGTGCCTCTCCTCAGAGGGCTCACGGTCTAAAAGGAGGGTCAGCCAATTACCAGTTCCAAGAGGAGTATGCCAAGATGTGGAGGAAAACAAAGAAAACACAACTCCTGACTCTGAACTCTTGATGTTCCAGGGAATAAACACAAAGTTTAAGTCATCTGACACGTGGACGTTGTTAATTAACTAGCTTTCACCCTGTTCACAATATTCACTGGCACATTCTGACCTTTCTCAACTCCTATTTCCAACCGCAATAACTACACCTCCGAAGCATGAATTTGTGAGAATTAGTACACAACTTGTATTAAAAACACATACGGCGTAAGCACACTCGTCAGAAAAGGCAAGCAGGAACCCACACCTCTGTCAATGATTTTGACTAAAATAATCAGTTATTCACTGAGAGCAAAGGTCAAGTTAATCCACCCAGGGTATAAGGAGACTACAATTTGGTTTGTAAAAGTAAGGAAAGAAAAAAATGAAAACAACAACAACAGAACCACTGCTTCTCATGGAAAAATGTAACATTGTTTGAACATACCCAGAAAAATAGGGGGTATGGAGGAAAATATGAAGGCATTTCTAGTATAAACATTTACTTGATGTACATCCCAGAGACAAGAATTTATTTTCTCATTAGAACAAACATGCAGGAACAGAACTGAAGATCCACTGCTATCTATCCCCACTCTCTGAGCAAAAACTATCTTGTGGGTGATTCAAGCAGCAGCCCCGGGCAAAGGGGCACCTCTGTTTAACCTCCTGTTTTGTTGCCCTGGCTAAAACCCATCATAAAGACTTCTTTGTGAAAAATGTATTTTGCAATAAATTATCAAAAGCTTCATTGAAGATCTTAACGGATATGGTGGAGTAAGGAACACTAAACCTGACTAGAAAGAAGAGAACCAGAATTTATCAACTCAGCATATTTCGTGGCCTTTAGGCATGGAACTGTTAGAAGAATAATCAGGAAAAAAAAGTCACAAACTACAGAGGCTGTCAATTTTATCCTACAGTTGAATAAACCTCATATCTGACTAAGTCTTCTCTAGTCCTCCATTCAGCCCCCACCCCAACAAACAAATCTCCTCAGAACTTAATACTGAAAACTTACCTTGGTGCACTAACAAACTTCTTACACCTTATCACTTAATCCTGTGCATTAAAGGCTCAGTTATCATGCCAATCGACTGGAATGTAGTTACTACTCTAAAGTTACACCTCAGGATCCATGACTTCACTTCACAGGTATAAACATAACTTTGCTTAATAACTTAGATTGTGATCTCTAAAGCTTTATATCTGTCATCTTGAGTAACGGTGCTTACCTCTTAATAACCTCACTAAACAGTATGTCATCATACATACAAAAGAAAACCACCCAAAATAAGAACAAACACTAGGTCACTTACTATTCCTGATTAACAAGAAGAGAAACTATTTCTGTGCATTAAGCCACCATCTGTAGAGATGGATTCATAGGTCTGCAGGGGAAAACTATGAGTTCCGAAGGATCCTTAAAATACATAGGTATTAAAAATACAGCCCATAAAGCCCTGTTTCCTCAGAGTGACAAGAACTGCTATAGGTTCATATACTCAGGAGTACAGGCAGAAAAACATTTGTAAGCACCAATTTCTAAGGTTTAGATGAATTCAGGAGGGTAGTAATAACTAAAGTAATAGCAGCAATAAAACTTCGAGCTCCTTTTCCTAAGGAAGGATCCTAATAGCTTATCTCACTTTTTAGCATCAGACGCCCAGCCAACATGCATAGCTACCAGTGTTTCAGCCGTCCCTGCTTGCTATTTCCCAGGTATACCCAACCTGACCAACCCTCTCAAGTTCTGACTCTAACACGGGGACAGACCCACACCTCTACGAAGCTGAAGAGACAGAGCCCTGCAGTATCGGCAAATGCAAAATCTGACACTATGTTCCAGCAGCCAAGTGTCTAGCCTGAGAACTCCGTTTTCGTTAGCCTTTGGCAAAAGTGTGATCTACACGGAAAAGGACTGTAAACTGGATCCTTAAGGAATCGCGCTGCCAACTTATCTATATTTCATTAATGCAGGAAGGAAGGGCTTCTCTGTCCAAATGGTAAGTTAAGATTCTGGTGAATCCCGACCAAAATATTTTCCATTAGTGGGGAAGGGTGACTTGAATCAACACAGACGTACTCCCTTACTCAGGTCACCAGAGCTAACATGCTCAAAGTCACATGCTGGGGCTCAAGGGTCAAATCTAGCCAGCAGATGTTTTTATGTGGCTTGCACAGTGCTTTCAAAGTTCTAAATTAATTGTCAGTGTCAAAACACCTTTGATGCTAGGATTTTTGGTACCAAAATCTGTGCTCCTGGGTTATCTTGCACTATACTGTAGGAAAACCTACCACTCTGAGACCACACATCCACAGATTGGTGGTGGTGGGGGGGGACAGTCCTAATGTACAAAGTGCAAATGCTACCCAATCTGCCACAGCCCCACCAGGTTAGCTCCCTCACTGTACTGCCAGGTTTTCCTGGTTCAGACCCTAAAATGGTCTTTAATCCCTGAAATAAAACCCCACAATCTTATTAGTATCATATCCAAAAACATCTGAGTGAACCAAAAAAATCAGCCCAAAGAGGAATTTGAGTAGAAAACAACCCATTTTTCTGGTTCTCTATTGGTACTGCCTTGATGAACTACACCACTTTCAAAAATGTCACTCTTGAAAATGATTAACTTGTCTCATCTTTCCTCATACATCTGGTTACGTTTTTAAGCTCTTTGCTGTATCTGACTGAGTCCCCTTCAAGCACAGTGTGATTGATAAGTCAGTCTTTGTGGTTAGAACAACATATAACAAAGGCAGGCAGCAAGGATTCCAGCTTCACTGCTCAACAGGCCTGTACTAGGTACACTTCATTGCTGACACTAAACTTGGTCATGTAAAAAAAAAAACAAAACAAAACAATGTTGGTTTAATGTCTTATTGGACAAATCCTCCATTCCCATCAAAATATGGACTAAATCAATAAAAGGATTCTAAAAGGGAATTTAGTTTAAATGCTACACACAGCTTTTAAACAGAGACTCAGACAGCCACACAGTAACTACCTCTTACCCAGGCATTGCTTACCCATTGCACTGAGATAATGGTTGAAGGCCTGGCAAGGAGGACTTGGGGTTTGTGTTGATTTGTCACAACTCATGGGTGCCGGGCTCCTGTCTGTGTCAAAAGAGAAATACCCACTGGAGGATCGAGACAGCAGGGAGGATCTTCTCACAAAGATGAAAAGCGGGGATCTGGTAGCAAAAGGGCCGGGGCTGGCAGGTGGGGCCAGTGGGCCCTGAGGGCTGCCTTGGGGGCAGCGGTCCCCTTCGACTTCAGGATTACCTTGCTGCTCTGTCTGTAGAGAGGTAGGGGCCCCAGGCCTGAGCTGAGAAGGCCTCTCAACAGGCTGCAATTGTCCACCTTCTCGGTCACACTCAGAACTTACATCTGAAGGTTGCTTTGCCATTTGGTCTTTTTTTCTGCAAGTAAAATAAAAACTAAGATTATCTTCAGCAAAATAATAATTACAACAAACAACTAAATTTAGCCAACTTTCCCGGATTCCTTCACAATTTTTAGAATACCAAATACTTTAACAGAAGTCGTTAGTTCACCTTATTTCTCTGACGATCTTCCAAATAGGAATAAAAACACACCTCAAATAACAAAGGTACCTCTATCTTTGCGGGGAGGGGGCGGTGAGGGGGTGGGACTAAACTTCCTGCCACCAAACAAAACACAATTACAACGCCAAAGTGAACTGGTGCCGTAACACAAACCCGTGCGCGCGCGCGCGCACACACACACGAAGTTTTTAGGAAAAGCACTTGTGTTAAGTCTATTCCTATGTGCTCTTTGCCCAGAGCCGACTTGAAGAAGTCGGAAACTCCCAGCGGGCTCTGATTTCCCGGGATCAGATACTGCGCTGGAGCACAGAAGCGGGCGCAGATGCAGCGACTGCAGGCGGCTGGCCGCGTTCCCCACTCCGGCCCCATTGTTCTGCGGAAAGTGCTGAGGGCAGCAAGTCTGGGGAAGGTTTGGCAAGGGCCGTCAGTCGTAGTAAGTGCGTCACAATAGAGTTTGTAACTCCGAGCGCGGCTCGGCCGGGCTCGGGCGCTCCCCGCCCGAGGTCCCTCCCGCTCCCAGCCCGCGCGCCCCTCCTCCCGCAGGGGGCAGCGCGCCGCACCGAACCCGACACAACTTCGGAATGCACCCACACTGCGAGGTGCACACCTCCAAATGGGGGGGGTTCCCCAAAGCCGGCCCCGGGCGCCCCCTGCAAAGTCCCCAAGTAACTCCACACACTAGGGGACACCGGGGCACGCGGCTCCGTCTCCCCACCGACCCTCCCCTGTGAAGGCAATCCGGCCGAAACTCACGTCCGCCCCTTCCCTTCCGACCGTCGCGTCCGGGCCCGAGACCCACGGCGTCCCGCCCGCGTCTTTCGCCGACCCGGAGCTCCCTGACCGTCAGCACGAAAGAAGCGCGGGAGACAAAGTCCGGGACTCGCCTTCAGAGCCCCCGGGGCAGCGCAGAGCCGGCCACTGGCCGCCCGCCCGCCGCCGCGCGCCGTCCGGCAGCCGACGGCTCCGCGCGCCGCGCCTCTGGCCCGCGCTGCCCCGGCCGCCGCCGCCGGGAACATCCTCCGCCTCCTCCCGCTCCTCCCCTCGCGCACTGCGCCCGCCGCCGCCGGCACCGCCGACCTCCCCGCGCCGCTGGCGCCGGGTGCCCGCGCTCCCAATTGGCCCGCGCGCGGTCGCTCCGCGCCACAGCCAATAGCCGCCGCCGGCGGGGGCGGCGCCTACGGGTCAGGCCGCCAAAGGCGAGGCGATTGTTGACAAACTCGCCTCCGAAGGCAGCCCGGCCGCGAGCGCTGCGGGAGTCTCGCGGACCCGAGCTGCCCCGGCTCTCCCAGCCCGCACCGCCTCTGTGCCCCGTCCGGGCGCCGCACGAGCCTCAGCGGCTCCCGCCGCCCCAAGTGGCCGGTCACCTGGAGACAAAGCAGGAGCTTCCCTCTCACCCGCAGGGCGGTCCTCAGACCCCAGTCTTGCTGCGGGCCGCCGACCCCGCCCAGGCCGGCTGGGCTGAAGACCCCAAAGGTCGTCCTTTGCCCTAGCTGCAGGACCCACCTTCCTCCACAAATTCCTCCCTTTTTCTCCCCGGGCGGCGCGGACATGCTCCACATCTAAGCGGCCACCACTGGCCACGGGAATGCATATCTGCGCGCACCCATGACCACGGCAGACAACGAACACATGCGCACCCCCGTCCCCCGCGGCCGACGGTTCTTCCCCTACTAGCACGAACACCGAGTAACAGGCCCCCGAGGGTACCGCACCGCCCGCCAGCACTGCGAGGGGGTCGGGGTGCCCGAGTCTCTAAGACCGTCGGGCCCCACGGATGGAGCAGGTTCCGCTGCCCGAGCCTCGTCCACCGCGTGGCCCCGGTAGTCGGAGGAGGCCCTGGGTCTTTCGCCGTCTATGGGTCGTGCGGGTGGTATCGTCTGCAGCGCACCCGCAGACCGGGCAGGGCCCCCAGACACCTCCGAGAGAGCGAACGCAGAAGCTGCCCTGAAACCTCGGCCTGAATGGGTACAAGGAAAAGCCGAGGCTCGGCAGTTAAATAACCACCTCAGTTCCGCAAATCCTCCGCACGGGCCCGAGCACCCGAGAAGGGCCAAGCCGCTAGACCAGCTCGTACCAAGCAGCCGCTACTTGGGGGTCTCCGGGACAGGGCGGCGAGACCTGCCCTCCCGCCGCGCAGCCCAGTACCGTGGAGCGGGGCCGCAGCTCCCGGGACGGCGCGGAGAGCACGTTTTGCTTTCCCCGGGTGACCCCGAGAAGCTTCTCCACTCCCTCACGCGGAATCCCGGGCCGAGCTGCACTTCGGCCAAATGCCGGTAGCTTTTGCAGGACGACCCCTCACCAAACTGGGCTTGCGCAGGGAGGGGAACCCGACCCGCCTGATCGCTGTCTCCCGCCCAGCGACAAGTGGGACGGGTATGTGCATCTCTTGCCTGCACGTGCTCGGGAGAGGAGCAGGAGGTGGAGCCGAAGTGGCTCCGGCGCTTGTCTTCGTCGGCACCCGGCCCGCTCCCGGGGATTCGGAGGTATTTACCTTGCGTTTCTCAGTCCGGGAGTCAGAGTCAGACATTGGGGGGACGAGGGCCAGGGAAAGGGCGCCGAGGGGGTGGCGGCGGGAGCGGGGCGAAGCGAGCAGCCCGCGGCGATGCTGGCCGCAGTTGGGCTGGGGCGCGCAGGGTGACTGTGAGAATCCGGTGGCAGTGTTGGCGGCGGCGACGACGCAGGACAGAGCGCTCTCACAAGACCTAAACCTGGAGGCTGCGCGGAGCGAAATGAAACCTGCACACCCCTGCTGCTCAGCTCAGACTGGCGGCCCAGGGTCCTCACCCAATCACCGCGAGCTCCGCCCCCTCTAAGTCCCGCCCCGGCGCGCGAGCAAGCACACCCCGCCCCGCCGCGCCGCCGCCGCAGCCGCTGGCGCTTTCAGGCTCCAACAGGTAAAAGCGGGGGTGGCCCGGCCGGGTTCCCCCGCGCGCGCTGCCGGCCCTGCCCCAGCCGAGGGTGTTTATCCGAGTGGCTAGTGCTGCTGGTGGCTTACGCGCACCCATTCTCCCTCCCTCCTCAAAGTGTACCCTTGCCTCTCCCCTATCCAGCAGGGGCCACTGAGTGTGCGTGGAACAGAGGGGGCGCTCCGGGCACACTGGACCAGGGCGGGCCGCCGCCGCCTGCGGAAAGCCTCAGGAGGCGCCCCTGAGCCCTTGATCGGCTTCGGGAATTTCTCAGCGGCTCTGGGGCAGGCGTGGGGAGTGGGCTGATCCTCAAGAACTCTCGGGTCCCATGTTGGGCAGTGAGTGTCGGACTCCTCTTTCCCAGAGTCTGGGGTACTGGGTGAGACCCGGATGGGCAGGGCTGCTCATCTTCCTCGCCCTCACCTCACGCGGTAGTCTTGGGCGCGCCCTCCCCATGCCACTTGGCAGGGGCACCTAGCTTTTTCCCCGCGCCGAGCCTCGGGTAAGAGACACAGCCCTCAGTGGGAAGAGTGGAGAAAATGGCAAGAAGTGGATCCCCGGAGGCGTCTGTTCCGCAGCCCTGGTGCGAGGCAGGAAGGGACTGCCCGCGGAGCAGGTAAAATAGGGAAATGAAAAAAGAACTAGAAAAAAATCCTTTGAAAAAAAAAAAAAAAAAAAGACCCAGAGGAATCTCGGCCTTCAGGTGGGAGAGAGGATGGTACCTTCGCTGGGTCGGGATCCTAGAGATCGGTTAGGCTTTCAGAGAACCTCCCGCAAGGCGCGCTGAGGCCAGTGAAGGCGGCGCGCACCGGGAGTGGTGTGGGGAGCGCCCTTCCTTCTCCCTGCGCGCCCCCACCCCCTTTCTCCTTGGTGCCCGCCTGCTCGGAGGACGGGTGCTCTTCTGGGTCGGCACCCTCATGTGTTCCTAAGTGGGTCCGGAGTCCCCACCCTTACCCCTTCCTGCGCTCCCCGGCTAGGAGACAGCCGCGGTCAGGGAGTGGGGGCGAGGTCGGTCGGGAGATGGAACATTCTGCCACTGGGAAGTGGTTAGATGGAATAAAGAAACCCAATTTATGGATCCCCTAAAGCGCCTCCCTCCCCGAACCAAGAAGGAAGGGTCCTCAGTTGCAGAGGAGCAAATCAAGTCAGGAGTTATCCCGCTGGTGGCCACCTCGGTTCCAGATACGGAACGTCAGGAAGTCACAACAGGCCCCGGTTAAACAATTCTCAGCCATCACCTGGCGAGTCCTGAGCGAAGTGTAGGAGGCCCTGGGTTCCTGGGGGGACTCAAGGAGCACGCCGGGTTCCGTCCTGGGATTTCGTTGCAGGAGGGAAAGGACAAGGGCGTGGACTCGGCGAAGTGGACGCAGAGGCCGGATCTCTATCCTGACGGTGGCTTGGAGCCGCTGCCCTAGACCTCAGGTTGTGGCCATGGGCGAACTCTAAGCCCATGCGGGAAAACAACAGAACTGCGCCCGCTGGGCGCCTTAAACCCGCCCCAGTGTTCCGAGCTCTCGGTGGGGTTGGGCGATACAGACAGGGACAGGAAAAGAACGACGCAGAAGAAAGCCCCAGTGGTTGTCCTCTGGTCCTGTGCAGCTCCGCCGCCCCCGCGTCGTCTGCTTTAGCGACCCTGTGAACACTTTTAAAAAACAGAGGCGTCAGGGAAAGCAACCGGTTAAGCACTCTTGTTTTGGGGCACAAAGAGGAGGTCCGCTCGGAGCCATGCAATTCAGACTGTGCTGGGGAGCTTTGGCTGCGCTCTTCGCGCCGGGTGACCTCTAGCCCTTCCTGCCCTCTCCCGCAGGGTCCGAAGGTCCTCTGGAAACTGGGCCACAGCCCAGGAAAGGGGTAGTGTGGGAAGTGCAGATGGGCGTTAGGTCTCTGCTCCGGTCCTGTGTGTCGCCCCCGCGGACAGAAGCAGAGCTATGATCACTCCTGCCTCTGCCACGAGATATGGAGAGGGAGTAAGAAGGACGGCTGAGGGAAAGGAGCAAAAAAAGAAGTAGGGCACTTGGGATCTGAGAAATGGGATGGGAAATCTACGGCCCTCGCCCGGGACCAGAGGCGTTGCGGGTGTGGTCTCTCCAGAGTTCCTGAATCTTTTCTTACTGCGGTGTACTGTTCTAGCCCGCCTCCCCATCCCCGGCAAGGAGCCCGAGCGCCTTCCCATCAATTAATGTCTTTATTAAACTTTGTTATCTATGCTTCTCTAAAGAACAGATTACAATTTCATATGGTAAAAATATTTTCCGTGCCTTGTCTTAAGGTCCGGAAGCCGCCTGCCTGGGAGGACAAGCCGGGGTTCGCGCTCTGCCCAGAGCAAAATTCCAGGCGCAAACTCCTCTTTCCCAGTCTGTGCGTTTTCTCTGAGACTCCAAGAGGGTCTGATTCACAGGAAAAGAATCGCTTGTTGAACTGAAACTTTGCCCGCGAGTGTTTGATTTTTATTTTTTTTTCACGCAACGCCATTGCGTTTTCCAAATTACTGTAAATCTGAGTCGCCGCTGACCACGGGAGACCTTTGGCGGCAGCTGGCTGTAGGGCGCATTCACAGGGGAGACCAGTGTCTAGGGAGATCGGGCTCGGAAGCTGGGAGAGGGTGCTGCGGACCGGCGGGGTTACATAATAAAGCCCCGTGTTCCGGGCTGCCGCCTGGCTCCCTATCCCAACAGCCCATCGCACCTAGCCAGCCTACCCTGCTCTGCGCCCCAAATCCCCGAGGGCCGAGGCCCAGCTCATGCTAGGCCGGCCTTGGCCCCAGTTCAGGCGTCAGAGAAGCTAGTGTCGTGGCAGCTGCGAGCGAGCCGCCACCCTTCGCACCACGCCCGCTATAACTTGGCTCCCAGCTTGGGCGGCTGAAAGCGCGCCCCTTCTCGGGGCTCGGGTTGCAGCGGTGCCGGGTAGAAGGCCCAGGCGGCCTGCGCATTGGTGATTCCTGCGATTGGTGCGTGGAGGGAGGTGTGTGGAATGTTAAAGGCAGAGATCACCCTCAGGGCATCATCCTTCACCGAGTCGCACAAATCCAGCAACTGCAAAACAGAACGCAAAGTGACAGGTCAGACGTTGGCTCACTTACAGCGTGGGGCGCCATTTGCTTTGTTCCCACTCCCAAGCACCCCACAGGTAGCCATTGGGGAAACTAGTTTCCCTTTGGATTTCCCGGACCCGGGAGAGTGGAAGCCATTGGTCATGGAAAACCTTCACCTTATCATCTTAGAAATCCCTAAACCTGTGACACCTGTCTGGCAGAAGCCCATTTCTTCCAAACAGGGGTGAGGGCTGACTCCAAATTAGATGGGAATCTCAAAACGGAGGTCTGAGAATTTATCAACATTCCCCTTGCCAGCCCTGCCCTCCCCTCTCCTCCAATCCCCATGATTTTCCTCCTCTCCACCTCCGGAGTGCCTGGGGTGCCACCCTCTGGCGTGCAGCGGCAACTGAAGAGGAAGAGCCTCAGGTGAACCGGTGGAGACAAGCTCCAGTTCTCCCCAGACTAACGCCTTCCCGCTTCTGGCCGGCAGCAGGCCATGGTCCCTGAAATGCATGCACAGTGGGGCTGGGGTTACTGAGACCAAGCACTGGCATCCCTGTGCACCTTCCACCTGGCTGCTGCAGGAAATCAACCTGCAGTTAAAGAGAACACCAAGGAACTTGGCAGATACCCTCCTGGGTTCTGATAACCACTGGAAGGCACAGATAAGACATCTCAGCAGAAGGATGGGGGGAAAGTAGTGATTTTGGAGGAGCTACAATAGGTGGATTTTAATTTCATTTTCCACGGTTTAGGTGCCAGTGCATTTTTTTTTTTTTTAATTCCCAGGGGAAAAAAGCTACCAAAAAGAATAGATTGTTTTTTCTAAAACTCAACAAGGACAAGACAGAGGGACTGCTTTCCCTTCCCATAACCAGCTGTACACTTTATTTTCAAGTTCTCAGCCAGCCATAAATTTCTTTCACTCACCAAATCACAGTTAGCCCCCAGGTTTTCATAGTTTTAAAAACATCACTTATAACAACCTCCCTCCCCACCTTACTGCCCTCATGGGTCCTTACTGAGCTATGCTAAAACTATGAAGAGCACAGTTCCTTTAAAGTAGCCCAAAGTCCTATTTCAGGTATCCAGAGACAATGGGGGGTCCCCAAAACAGGGGCTGGGGGAGGGTAGGGGAAGAACATGAATTTTAATAGTTTAACAATACATCTTCCTTTAAATGTGCTCCATGGCATCTGTAATTTCTAATGAAAACCTTCATTTTTTTTACACACTGTGGTTAAGCATCATAAAATCAGTAGTGAAAAGACTTTGATCATATTTGCAAGATGCACTGTGATGAACTTTCACTGACCAAGATTTCAAAGTTTGTAATTAATACTCTTGACAAGTCCCTGACTAATCTGTCAACTCTCAAGGTCTTTAACCACGCACTTCAAAACCATCAGATGGCATACAAGCCCTTAAACCTTCTACGTATTGTAATTTCATTATTCAAGATAACTTTCTCTTTAAGTTTGCATCATGAAACTCAACCAATTTTTGCCATATATTCAACAATGGCGGAGATTCAATTATTTGAATGAATGTTGTGTGGCAGTATGGGTTTGGTCTGTCCAAATACAGAATAAGCACCCAGAGACAGGAACTGCAAGAGGCAGGTTTCTGTTCAATATTTTCACAACTTTAAAAATAAGAATAAAGTAGATTTTAAAAAAGTATCCCATGGCAGAAGAAAAAGAGGGTTTCCTTACTCGTAAGTGTTCAGGGTCTTAAAGTAGATTTTTAAAACGTATCCAATGGCAGAAGAAGAAGAGGGTTTCCTTACTCAAGTGTTCAGGGAGAGGCCCATTCAAATGACGTTCTCAAGAGGAGGGCTGCATGGAAGGGGAAGGCCATGTGTTGACTGATGAGATTCTCTGTAAACTTAAATTTCTGACGCTGTCTCAAATACTTGCTTACTCCATTTGCCACAGGCTGCAACAGGCCAATTAGTGTCCAGATCCAAGAATCAGGCATAACTCCTTATATATAACAAGTTTGCCTCTGATTCCAGATATTGTCACCTCTGCCTGTGAGGATGTTATTATTACTGTCTTTCACTTACCAAGTACATACTGGAGTCCTAGCCTATGGTACAGATTGTGCTGGGCATGGGGAGGTTTAGTGATGCACACTGTGGACATAGGCCTCCTGTATCAAGGAGATGATGCTGAAGAATTGTAAAGACTTTTTACAAATAGGATCCTCTCAATACAAAATAAACTTAGGTAGCTACCATAGCATTTATTATTATATATACGGTATTTTTTTTATTATTACCAGGGAGCCCCAGAGGACAAAGCAACGCACAAGCAGACCTCAGAGGCTTAGCAGTTTCAGACCACGGCCATGAAGCAAATACTGCAATAAAACGAATCAAAGGAATTTTTTGGTTTCCCAGTGCACACAAAAGTTATGTTTACACTACAGTGTAGTCTGTTAAGTGTGTGTTGGCATTACATCTCAAAAGCAACATGCATCAATTAAAAAAAATAGTTTGTTGCTAGAAAATGCTAACCATCATCTGAGCTTTCAGCTGGTCATACTCACTGATCACAGGTCACCATAACATATAATAATAATGAAAAAGTTTTAAATATTGCGAGAATTATCAAAATGTGACACAGAGACACAAAGTGAGAAAGTGCTATTGGAAAAATGGCATTGATAGACTTGCTTAACATTGGATTGTCACAAACCTTCAATTTCTAAAAATGCAGTATCTATGAAGGACAATAAAACAATATATGCCTGTAGTATTAATGTTTAGTTCTATCACCAAAAAAATGCCCCATAATATAAACACAAAAACAGTGCATATTGTAGCCGCCCCCACCCCTGCCCTATTTCTCCAGTATGTGACCCAACTGTGCTGGACAAAGCATCCCAAGCCCACCCATCTCTTTACAAAGAAAACTCACCAGCTTTTGAGGAAACACCAATGAATGAGTGCCCTTTAAAAATAGAAGAGCACGAACAAAATTATAAATTATCAGAGAAAAATTTTGAAGTACTGCATGGGCAGTATTGCTGTAAAAGTAATAAGGACATAACGTTCCACTAGAACTATCCAGGGAGTGGGATTTGAGAATATCTACTTGGAAGAAAGTGGACGCACTCAACACTGGAGGGGACAGTGGGTGGACAGGTTCGTATGTGGATTTTCGGAGGGAAATTTATAACAACAATTTGGCTTCCTTGCCCCCACCTAGTTGCAGTAGGTTTTCTCTTTTTCTTTCTTTTTTTTACCAACCCAGCATTATCCTTATTCCAGTTGGGAGACTAGGATGGTCTAGAATGGGCAGTATCTAAGTTTACAGCCTTCTAAACAAAACCTGTTTTTCCTTGTGTTGGCGTTAGGTATGCAATAGATGCTCTGGGAGTGAGGTATCCTGTGAACTGGCAGCCACATCCCAGCTATTCCTAAGACCCTATGCAGAAGGTTTTCCTGACTCTTCCATGTTCCCTGCCTCTGTTCGGGGACAACGCCAGCGGACCTCCTGCTGTTCTCTGTGTCAAATCCCTTACCCCAACTTGACATGTACCTCCATTAGCCCCTTTCTTTGCTTGGCCATTGTGACGAATCTTTTTTCCATCTCTTGAATCTGGGCTGCCTTGTGACTTGTCTTGACCAATACAATGTTGAGGAAGTGACACTGTGTAAGTTCCAGAGCTTAGGTCTCAAGAAGCCTTGCAATGCCCACTCTTGCTTCCTGGGACCCTGAGGCCCCATGTTGGGCAGGTCTAGCCCACTGGAGAATGCCCAAGGCCATGTGCAGAACGGCCACATGGTCCGCAGCCATGAATGAGGTCATCTAGGTCCCCCTAGTTCTTTTGAACTCAACTGCAGCCACAGGAGTGATCTCACCCATCAAGGACTAGCCAAAGAATGACCCAGATTGCCTATCCACAGAATTGCAAGAAATAAACAATTGCATTGTGTATGCCACTAAGTTTTAGGGTGATATGTCACACGGCAATAGGTAACTAAAACAGATGTCTTCCTTTTAAAATTCAAATTGCCGGGGCGCCTGGGTGGCTCAGTGGGTTAAAGCCTCTGCCTTTGGCTCAGGTCATGATCCCAGGGTCCTGGGATGGAGCCCCGCATCGCATCGGGCTCTCTGCTCAGCGGGGAGCCTGCTTCCTCCTCTCTCTCTGCCTGCTTCTCTGCCTACTTGTGATCTCTGTCTGTCAAATAAATAAATAAAATCTTTAAAAAAAAATTCAAATTGCCATTCACGAGCAGGGGGAGGGTCGTCTTTAGCTATACTTCCACCCTCTTAGTTATCTGAGAACAATCCTATAATTTCACAATTAAAGCAGTTCACAGTGAGGTGCGGCTCACTGATAGGCTTAACTGAAAGAGAATTTCAGTTGCAGAGAGTAGTTTATAAAGCCAATGACTGTCCAGTCGGTGGGGTATCTGGGAGAGAATTTGAATGGCAGGCTGGAAGTCTCATGGCAATCAACCGCCCACCCCACTCTTCTCATTTGGTTTAGAGGGCAAATCATCAGGACTACCCTTAAAACTACCTGCCATGCCTTCATCATCTCTACTGGGGGCTTTAGCTTCCAACAAAAATACTCAGTAACATCAAAGTGTCAAGGATGGGGAGAAAAGGCAGAAAATATTTGCAACTGGGGATTCCGAGTCTTGTGAATATTTTGGTTCTCCCGCATCATTAGAAGAAAGAAACAGATGGAGCCTGGTCAGACCTAACCAGAGTCAGACTGGCACGTCTCTATGCTTTACTTCATGGGACTGTAGTGTTTCCCTGCTCCTGGAGATTTCTTAAACAAAGAGGGGCAGCAGGGGTTCATCTCCAAGGCCAAGTCTGTCTAAAGTGTGGGTTAGAGGTCTGACCTCAGAACTGGTTGGGAGGACGAGGTGAGATAATTATGTGAAGGCCACACTGTAAGCTGCGAAAGGCAGCAAAATGGAGTTGTTGACTCTTGATCCCCCAAATACCATCATGAGGGCCTTTAAAGGCTTCC